CCCCCCCTTCCTTCCCAGTAGTTAGAATGCAGTATTGCAGGCTAACTCTGCCCTCTGCCAGCAGTTCTATCCTGATCGACTGGCTCAAGGTGGACTCAGCCTTCCCGAGGCGGGTAAAATGAGGACCCGGATTGTTGGGGGCAAGAGGCTGGCTTTTTCCCAATGGCCAAAGAAATAGAAGTTAGAAACTTAAAAGTTTAAGAGAATGATTAACTATATCATGAAAATCTATTAGTATGGATAAGCCATTATTATTATTATTATTATTATTATTATTATTATTATTATTATTATTATTATTATTATTATTATTATTATTATATTGTGTGATCATTATCAATGCTATGAATATTATTACTATTATTATTTTTCAAAAACTGTCCTCAGACAACACACAGCTCATGTAAATATTGACTTTTTACGTTTACTAAAGAAAAATGCATGAATAAAATATACTGTATATTAAAAAAAAAAAAAGCTATGATTCTTTTTCCAATGGCCAAAGGGATAGATGAGCTTAGGATTCCCCCCCCACCTGGACGCTTTGATCTGAATCCACTGGTTCGTGTTGATTGGGACGGTAGACCGAAGGATCACGGGTTTGGAGCCAAGGTCGTAGGTCATTTGGACCCGGCCGTCCACGATGGCCAAAGCGATGTAGTCGGATCGATCCAGACCCTTCCCGCTCCACAAGATGAGTCCCTGGGTGGCTTCGGTTTTGATGCTCAGCTCGAAGTAGTTGGACTGCAGAGCCTTCTCGCTGCATGGGGATGGAAAGGGGAAGTCAGCTCGGGAAGCAGAGGGGGGCATAGCCCACTCCATCCAGACCAGATGACCTCTTGGCCTCTTTGGGTTTGAAATATTTCTTGGCAACTTTATCTATTGTTCTTGGCAGCCTTGCGCAATCTTGGCAAGGCTCGTTCTTATGGGAGACCATTAGTTTGAAACAGCCTTTTAACCGGGAAGGAATGGAATTCGTAAAGAATCATTAAAAGGTTTTGCTGTCACCTCCGTTTTGTGTTTTTGTTTTGGGTCAGAACATGGGCTCTATGGTGGTCTTAAGTTGAACCCTTACCTGTAAATGGTAGGAAGTTAACATGGCCCAGGGAAGTTTTTCAAGTTTTTATTTTGTTTTTGAAAGGCTGCGCTGTAGATTTGTGCAATTTAAGATCTTGGGGACAGTGTAGCTTTTGAAGCCCAGAATGAGAGATGACCGACTAACCAGAATCAATTTCTCTTAAGATCTGGTTTATTCCCTGCCAAGGGATCTCTTCTCCTTGAGAGATTCGAGGGTAGCAGAGAAAATCAACATCCTGGTTAAGAGTTTTTCACCCGTCACAGAGCATGATATACACATGGATACACACATCTACACAAGACGAGACACACCACAACACGGGATTACAAGGACACTGTTTCCTTCCCCCCCCCCCCCCCCGGACCCAGGGGAGAACCGGATCCCTCTGGGCAAAAACTATTTGAGATAAAAGTGGGGAATTGGCTGTTTAAAAACCTGGAGCTGAAAAATCACCTTTAGAGGAGGAGGCAACTACAAATAAGTGGAGCCTCCATGTTCAGAGGCAGTATACTCCGACAACATTGGATGCTGGGGAACAGCCTACAGAGAAAGGAAGCTGCCTTCGTGCCCTATAAAAGGATCCTAGTTTTTAACTGGAGTTTAATCAGTGGTATTTCCTGCTTAAGGGTTTCCTGCCTGAATAGCGGGGTGGGCTAGAAGACCTTCAAAGGTCCCTTCCAACTCTCTTATTCTAACAACATTCTTAAATAGCAGCATGAGGAGAACTGGAATTACTATGTAAGTCTCCATAACCTGTGATCAGCTACACTCCAGAAAAAAAATAAAAATAAACCACATTCCTGATTTTCCCCCCCTCCTCGTTGCTTGTTTTCTGGCTAAGACAGATCTGTTCTTTATCTCATCCGCGAGCACAATTAGAAATTCCCTAAATTAAAACTGCTTCCTTTATAGCAGCCTCGGCGGCTGTCAGCTCCAAGTTGACCCTTTTTATAAACTTTTTATTTTGTTCTGCAACTGTTCGGGTGAACTCCTTAAAGCCATTTAGATCATGGAAATCCACCAACCCCCCACTAAACCCTGCAAAACTGGCTGTCTCCTCTGGGCCACATCCTTTAGGATAGCGCTAAACCCATTTGCTCTGGAATTAACAATGAATGGACCAGATTAATAATTAATTGCCTAGGGGTGGGGGGGGGGGGGGGTTATCCGTAAAATCCACATTTGGGGCTGAATTCAGCACCCACATCCCCTGGAATTGGGGGAAACTGAGGCCTGGATTCTGGGGTTAGATGAAATCACCTGGATTAACAGAAGGGACCTGTCGAAGGACGATGAAAAATGGAATCAAAATTTGTCGGTTTCTTTGAGGGAGGGCTGTGGATCCCTCGAAGTTTATTTATGCCTTCGAGACCCATCTTGGAAAATGAGAGTAGCCAAGATCTGGATGACTACGGTTTGGTTTTGCTAGCCAAACGTGGTTTAATCTTAGGAAGTTGTGGGAGCTTCATCCCTGGAGGCTTTCAAGAAAGAGACCGGACTGTCCGAAATTGGTGTAGGCAGGATCTCCTGCTTGGGCGGGGTTGGACTAGATGACCTTACGAGGTCCCTTCCAACTTTTTGGTTAATCTGTTAAAGAAGCAGAATCTAGGTGAACAGCCTAGACTGGGGTTTTTAATCCAGCCCAGCTCTCTCTGCTCCCAAGGAAACAACGAATAGCCCACGGAAGTGAATTTATAAGAAACAGGAAATAACACGAGGCTGGAGCAATCATGCAAGGTGAGCCAACCGGAATGTCAACATGGGGGAAAAAAAGGGGGGGGAACAGCGAGAACAGCAGTGAGATCTGGGTACGTGATGCAAGCATACACCTGCTTCGACAAAGACTCACCTGAGGTCCAGATGATAATCCAAAGCATCGGGACTTAGAAGCAGAAAGAAAGCGGAGGCATGCATTAAGCACTGGGATAAAACGAGGAACCGATCGAGGTGGAAAAGCGGCTAGTCCCTAAGAAACCCATCCTTTTGGGGGGGGGGCTTTCCCAGATACAGATTGGAGAGAAGACATACTAGCCAATTCAGGCTTGAAATAACCCTTTCAAGCTTGAAATGGGTTGTTCCGTATTGAAAACCGGTTCAAAAGAGGAAGAGTTTGGCACAGTGCTGATAGATGTGCGCCAGGGAGAAACTTTCCGTATTATTATTATTATTTACACTCTCAAGGAATTGCTGTCAGATCAGGAGAACATGCCGAGGGGAAATTCGGAATGGTTAACAACTGGTAAAGTGACTTTAATCTTGGGTTAGAATGGATGAGGGTTAAACGAAGGGAGGGGTTATGAGTGGGGGGAAGAGAGAAGGGAAGAAAGTCAAACAAACATACACCCCGGCTTCCCTCCGTTTCATATCTCATGTCATTATTTCAATTGTGCAAATTGGGATTTCTCTCTGAAACTAATTCAGGCTTTGAGGCTCCAGAGCTGGGCATGTGTGGAAAGAAAAAGAAGAAAGAAAGAAAGAAAGAAAGAAAGAAAGAAAGAAAGAAAGAAAGAAAGAAAGAAAGAAAGAAAGAAAGAAAGAAAGAAAGAGGAGGGAAGGGAAGGAAAGGAGGAAAGGGAAAGAGAAGGAGAAGGAAAGGAAAAGAAAAGGAAAGGAAGATTTTGAGAACAGAGGTTGCCCCAACATTCTCTCCCCATATAAAAGGAAAATGATCCCCAAACTTAGATTCTTGGAAACAAATTGAGGCATTTATTCAAGACATTTTAATTCCACAAATATGGGAAATATTGATTTTTATCCCTCTGAATTGGATCTGAAGTCCCCTAAGACAACTTTCAGCCCTAAAGGCTGAGCAGGGCCACTCAACCTTTGCTAAAGCTGATCAGGCTCACAAGCTGTTTTGCTCAATTGTGAAGTCTGGAAATTAATTAAAACAAAAACAAAAAACCGAACTTTTACCGAACGGGGAAAACCCTCACACTTCACAACGGCTGAATATTTTCCACTTGGTTCTTTATTATTATCCTTATTTTTGGATCCGTTTCTTTTTAAACACAGTTATGGTTTCGTTTGGACCGTCAAGCTCACACGTGGAAATATACCACCCTCTAAAAACAGAGGTGTGCATTTTGCAGAAGCAGCTGGCCAGTATCCCTGCTTTAAATCTTGATTATTTTTCCCCTTCCACTTGCAAGAGAAAAAACCTGATTGTCATTTTTTTTTCCCCTGAGATTCCTTTGGATTTTTTTTCTACCGTTGGGAAACCAAGTCACTGAAAACTGAGGATGGACTTTGTCCCAGTTGCTGTTTCCCTGAGTCCTTTTCGAGATTAGGGTGGAGGCGTGAAGCTATCCAGGATGTCAACAAACCACATCTCTGTCCCAATTCTTGGATTGCTTGGATTTTTAGTTTTAAAATTTAACTACGGTACCCTGCTTGGAACGCTTAATCTTAAAAGGCCCAGATCTGAATGGTGATTGTTGGGAGCATCGCTACCTGCTCAGGTCAGATCCCATAAAAAGCCCATTTTTGCGACCTTTAGAAAGGAGGCTGAGCTTTAATGAGCTAAGTATTCAGATCCGTTCATTGTCTAACCAGGGTTTCTCACCCCGGCTGGGAAATTCTGGGATTTGGAAGTCCACCTGTTTTAAAGTTGCCCAATTTTGAGAAATCCTGATCTAGAACACGCTAGCAACAAGGAATTGGGTGCTTGTGACCCTTGGAAAATTGTATTTACTTATGGAAGAAAATATTTGTAGCTCGGGGTTAAGCTGTGGGGTCTTTGGTGCTCTCTGAGCTTCGTGGTTTTCCTGCAGATGTTTCAATAGAATAGAATAGAATAGAATAGAATAGAATAGAATAGAATAGAATAGAATAGAATGCAGAATAGAAATAGAATAGAATAGAATAGAATAGAATAGAATAGAATAGAATAGAATTAGAACAGAATTAGAACAGAATACAGAATAGAACAGAATGCAGAATCAAATAGAACGCAGAATAGAAATAGAATAGAATAGGATAGAATTAGAATTAGAATAACAGAGTTGGAAGGGACCTTGGAGGTCTTCTAGTCCAACCCCCCCTGCTCAGGCAGGAAACCCTGTATCACTTCAGACAAATGGTGTACCAAATGGTGTATCATTATCAAACTAGGTAACATCATCAGTGCTAGCGATATATAAAATGAGAGCAAACCCCGTTCCCTCCTAGCACTGATGATGTTACCTAGTTCGGTACTGAAACGTCTGCAAGAAAACCACCAAGCTCAAGGACCCCACAGAAGATGATACTTAAAAGTAGCTCCAACTTTGCGGCCCAAAGGAAGGGCAGAAGGACTTGCAAAAGTGTCTTGGATTTAAGTGAAGAGGCGACAGGCAACCGGCGAGATCTTCTTGGGGCTTCCAAGGTTTGATTTCTCAAGAGGCCCCTTGGTGGGAGGAGATTTTAAAGGATGGATCGGCAAGCAGGGAGGATGGCGGGCGGTGTGGAAGTGACGGAGAATGGAGGTGTTTACTTACGCTGGTATCTCATTGGTCAGTTGGCTTGCAAATGAAACAAAAATACAAAGGTGGTTGAGGACAGAGAGAAGGAAAGAAGGAAAGAAAGAAAGAAAAAAAAGGAGGGGAAGAAAAGAGCAACAACACATCACATTCTCCAAAGGGACTCCCCGACTCTGGAAGCGGAAAGTTGTTTAGCAGAGTCCCCAAAGGCCAGGATATTTAAGACATCCTGGATTTGGAGAATGATTAATCAGCCAAGAATGAGACGTACAGAAACAAGACACACAAGTGGGCAGACACAATAGGTTGGGTGAGCCGAATGGAGCATCCCTCTACAGGAGCAGTAGATCTGCAGACTGCATCCAAAAGGAGGTTGGAGATAAAGATAAAACGGGGAAGATTTCCCCATCCTACAGGCTAAAAATACAAGCTGCCAAGAGATTGAGATTGTGGGTGGGACTTGTTGGCCTTGGCTCCGCCCAAAGGAGGCGGGCTTGTAAGAAAAGGGGCTTCCCCCCTTCGGCCAGATTTTAAATTCGGGCCAAACTCTGTTGGTTTTAACCTCCCCAAATCTCGCCCCCCCCCCCACCACCGGTCATTACCTCTTGGTAACAGCGTTATGGTATTCGATGTAGGTCCAGCCGTCGAAGGCGATGGCATCGGAGTCTCCAGCTGCCTTCTCGGTGAGGACTGGAGGGAAGGAAGCAAAACCGGAGAACAGTCCGCCGGTGCCCAATTGAGACCCCCACACCCATAATCCCCAGCCAGCAGGGCCAAGAGGAGGGCCGGTATCTCAGCAGAATCCTAGCAAGCTTTGTATCTCAGCTTTGGTGGGGCAGAGACCCAGAATTTGGATCATTTCAGGCTGGAAAATATGCCTTCCAAATCCCACTTCTTGACAAAATAGCAGGAGCGCTTAGTACTTGTATACCGCTTCGCAGGGCTTCACATCCCTCTCTAAGCGGTTTAGAAAGTCAGTCTCTGGCCCCCCAACAATCTGGGTCCTCAACTTTACCAACCTCGGAAGGATGGAAGGCTGAGTCAACCCTGAGCCGGTCAGGATCGAACTCCTGGCAGTGGGCAGAGTCAGCCTGCAATAGGGCATTCTAACCACTGCACCCCCACAGCTCTTGGGGTTCCCTAGCCCCAAACTGTGATTCAACAGAAAGAAGCTGTCAACTCACAAAGCATTTCTATGCCTGTTTTGAGTTGCCGTAAACAAGGGAGGGGGGGAGAAATATGAAGGAGCATTATGGCAGTTTAGAAACAGAAGTACATCCCACCCTTATCTACAAAGATTGTAGCTAGGCTACCGGATCTTCTGCCCTCGAAAATCCTTTATTGGAGAATGTGATTGATGACGCCCAGCCCGTGAATGTGCTTAATTGGAGAATCTGATTTATGACACACCCGGGGGGAAAGGGGGAAACAGGGTCACAGATGACTGTAAATGACGTATGCCAGAGTTGGCTTCATTTCGGTTAATGCCGGCATGTTGCTCCTAATAAATCTTTTTGAATTTTTTTGAAGTTTGGCTCGAGGCTCATGATTTAATTAGGGCAATCGCCGGAAACCCTGACAGAACCTTGAGCTGTCCTGGGAGGGACCCCAACCAGGTTGGGAAAGGCCTTCTACCTCTTCTGCGCCATCAAGGACCAGTCTGGCTGTGGAAGAGAGAGTCAAGATCTCCTTCCAAGGTTCTCTCGGCCAACCCAGACTCACCTTTCTCGCAGTGGGTCCCGAAGAAGCCTCTGGGGCAGGTGCATTCATAGCTCTCCAAACGGGGTTGGCAGGTCCCGCTGTTCTGGCAAGGGCTGGGCTTCTGAGTGCAGGGATGGGAGCGGAAAGGGGAGATCTCAACAGCGCTGCGGATGTTCTTCTCTTTCAGGATGGGGGTCCCTTTGATGGAAATCTGAGCCATTGGAGAGGAAGAAGGAAGGGAGAATTAGAGCCTCAATGGCAGACTTTAAAAAAACACGAGACTAATGGACTGCCGAGTCCCACCCCAGGGATCAAAGAAGCCAACCGGATTCGGATTGGTCCCTTCCTGATGGAATGGCCATAATTCTCAGCTAGCATGGTTAATTATCCTACCGGGTGGTAATTATGGAAGCTGCTATCCCATAAAGTCCTAAAGGATGGTAGGATGAAGGGGTCCGGTCTCCTCTAAGGACCTCCAGAAGAAGAGAACGTTCAACCAACATCTGTTGAGATTCTGGAGGACCAAGCCACCATCTTTCTAGTTAATGCTTTCATTCTCACGTAGTTCTCACCATCATAATTTCCTCCTACCATTCAACTGAAAACTTATCTTACTCGTGGGATCCAGTCCTAACTGCAGCAAAGAACCAACTGGATCCTTCTCCCCTTTGATGCTTTTTCCCACGAGGTTTATTTTCCTAGTGATTCTCTTTCCATCCAGGAACCCATGTTAACTTTTCCACAGCTACAGAATAGAAACCCCTGCATTTTTCACCCCAAATTTGCTGCAGCCCTCGAGAAAGTTGTAGATCTTCATTTGGCAGAGGTACTCCATCATATAGCTGACGAGGAGCCAAAAAAGCCAATGCAATCCTAAGTTGCATTAACAGAGGGATACAATCGAGATCAAGGGAGGTACTAATACCACTCTATAAAGCCTTAGTAAGACCACACCTAGAGTACTGCATCCAGTTTTGGTCACCACACTGTAAAAAAGATGTTGAGTCTCTAGAAAGAGTGCAGAGAAGAGCAACCAGGATGATTAAGGGACTGGAGGCTAAAACATACAATAAACAGTTGCAAGAACTGGGCTTGGCTAGTCTAGGGAAGGGAAGGACCAGGGGAGACAGGAGAGCAACCTTCCAATATTTGAGGGGCTGCCACAGAGAGGAGGAAGGGGTCAAGCTATTTTCTAAAGCACCCAAAGGCCAGACAAGGAACAATGGATGGAAACTGAACAAGGAGAGATTCAACCTGGAAATAAGGAGAAACTTTCTGACAGGGAGAGCAATCAACCAATGGAACAGAAATTGCCTTTGGAAGTTGTGGGAGCTTCATCACTTGAGACCTTCAAGAAGAGACTGGACTGCCATCTGTCAGAAATGGTGTAGGGTCTCCTGCTTGGGCAGGGGGTTGAACTAGATGACCTACAAGGTCCCTTCCAACTCTGATTATCTGTTATCTGAGGAAGACGTTCCTTACCTTCTGAATGGCTCCATCAAAGCTAGCAGATGCTGCGGCAGCCCGAGCCAGTTGGCTGAAGTCCGGTGCGCCCCCGACGTAGAGGGGTTCCTTTAAATTAAGTGAGGTGTGGGGCAACTGGATAAAAGGGGGGAAAAAACAATCCATTGAGAATGGAGGTCACCAAGAGCGGAAGGAAGATCTACCAATGGCATTCAGCCGGTACAATCAAACTTCTTAAGATGTCCTTGAAGTCGAGCAGACGTATTACAGCGCAGTACAGTTTTCATGGAGGACAGGACCTTTATAATTATATTTAACTGATGGTTGATTAGACCATGTTGTAGGAAGGGATGGGGCGTGTCCTCAGCAAACCAATTTAGCAATAATAATAAACCAGCCCAACAGATTTTTAGTAGCTTTCCTCGGTGTCTTAAATCTTCTGTTAACCCATGGAAGAAAAAGCATGCCAATCAAAGTTGGGTATTAAGAAGGGGGTTAGCTCATTACAGCTGCAAAACCAACAGCTTGTTAAGAGATTAAACCTGGTCCTATTTCCGCCCCCCACCCCCCGGGGGTTCAGTCCTGCCAGAGATATTCTAAATCAGTGGTCCGTGAGAAAATTTTAGTGGTCCGCAGAGAAATGTTGCCCCCAAAGCAATTAATCCAGGCTGCGCGGGAACACAAGGCTGCGCCACCCACATGGCCCATGGGAACACAAGAGGCTGTGCCGGCAAAGACTCATTTCTGGTGGAGTTTGGGGGAAGAGAAAGAAAGACTTCTGCTGCTTCTGCTGTTTTTCTTGCATGAAGCCAAAAGTCTCTCTCTCTCTCTCCCCCTGAGAATGGAGCTGGAGACAGTATCCTGCGATCCCAAATAAAGAATGATTGATCGGTAGGAAAACGGGGTGGGGAATTTTCCTGCAGACTTTTTTGGGGATTTTCCCAGGGTCTCTGGTCCGCGGGATTTAAAATTTATGAGTTTGGTGGTCCCTGAGGTCCAAAAGGTTGGCGACCCCTGTTCTAAATCAAATCTAAATATTGAGAATCAGTGAAACTATTGTGGCAAGGGAAGGACTGCTCCAGCTTCCCCGATCATAAGCCATGGTTTAACGAACCCTTATTTGTCCTTTAATCAAAGGCGCCATCGCTGCTTCAAATTCACCGTGTTAAAAAGGGAACTATCTAATGTGTGAAAAGCATTAATGATGGAAAATGGCTCGAACTTGGGAAGGGGAGTGGAAGCCACACACAACTAATTATTGTGGATGCGGAGGCTCTCTTAATTAGAAACAAGGAAACATCTATGTTAAAAGAGGGGATTATACAACAGGGGGGAAAAAAAAGAGGCAGATGATAGTCTATTAATATCATTGGTGTTGGGGATAGGGAAGGTAAAAATAAATACGGTTCACCACAATGGAAATGAGATAATGAGGATGAAAGGGGTGGTTATACTTATCTCTTTACCTTACGAGATTTCTGACATCCAGACAGCAAGAGAAAGGAGGAAAAGAAGGAAAAGGAGGAGGAGGAGGAGGAGGAAGAAGAAGAAACGCAAATGGGAAGCAAAAGAGAAAACAGAGAAAGGATCAGTGATATGGACACCACCACACAGAGCGTTGCAAGATTCATTAAATCCCTAATTTGCAGCCTCTGAGGCAGAAAAGGCAAGGAGGAGAAACAGATCTCTGGGGAAGACTGGGTTCATAAGCTAAAGAGATCTTTAATTCTTCTTGTTTTAGGGTATTTTTACCGGCATCCCTCCTTTCGAAGAAAGGAGAAGGGATTCCTGCCCCCCCCCCCAAAAAAAAAAATTTCAAATTGTCCTAAGCAGAGGTGGGGGAGAGAAGGGAGGATATCCAGAGCAAGAAAAAAACCCACAATTTTTGAATGTACCAAATTAGCACTTAGCACTCAAGACTTATATACCGCTTCACGGTGCTTTTACATCCCTTACAGAGTCAGCCTTTTGCCCCCAACAACCTGGGTCCTCATTTGACCCACCTCGGAAGGATGGGAGGATGGTCAGGACCGAACTGCTGGCAGTGGGCAGAGTTAGCTTGCAATGCCGCATTCTAACCGCTGGTAGGGAGGGAGGATTCTTTTTACCGACCTCGGAAGGATGGAAGGCTGAGTCAACCTTGAGCCTGGTGGGGTTTGAACTGCCAAATTGTAGGCAGCTGGCTGCAGCAGTATTTCCGGAAATACAGGAAGTGATGAAACGGGCCTTTTTTTTCGGCCTCCAAAGGCCGCAGAGGCTTCCCTCGAGCCTCTGGGAGACCGAAAAAGGGCCTCAAACGGGCCAAAAACCAGCTGGGAGGCGCCGCATGCGCAGTGAGGTAAGTTTGCCTGGGGCTTGTGTGCCCACACAAATGGGCCTGCGTGCCACTTGTGGCATAGGTTTGCCATCACGGGTGTAGGGGGGGGGAACCAGGAGCCCTTTTGGCCAGTGCTGAGCAGTGGGGATTTTTTTTTTTTTGCAACAGGTCCTAGATTGGAAGAGCTGCCAAAGGCATGGTGGCTTCCAAGGAGACAATTAAGAGGCAGAAGAGAGAACGAAAAAGGCTCTTGGAGCGATCCAGGCCTGGGAAGAAAGAAGGAAGGCAGGCAAGGGGTCGAGGGGTGAGATTAACTTGAAAAAAAAGAGGATCTGGCTTTAGGGGAAAGGCTCAGCCTGGCATTAAATGGTTCTGAGTATTTTTGGGGGAAAGGTGGGGTGGGTAAGAAGGAAAATGTCGGCTCTCTTAAAACCCAAAGACCTCGCTGAACAACATGGGTAGGGGGGTCAGCATTGGTCAAGATGAAACCCTGCCTTTTCAGAGCCAGTTCGGACTCACTGTTCTCCTTGTGATCCTTCGACTTAACAACCATTCCTTGAGTTCAAAGTTGCAATGGCAGTTAAGTGACTTATGGCCTTTCTTTCACAGCGACGGCCGTTTTGGAAGTTAGGCTCCAGACTCATAATTTAAATGGGGGTAACTGCCGGAATCCTGACATGAAGGGACTGCCCGCCCACCCACCGCCCGGATCCCAAACTGTTGCAAACCGTTTTCGAGAGTGGACTTAATTTACCGGCGATTCACCAAGCGTCCGTTCTCCGTTGTTAATCCTCATAATGCCCTTCCGCGCGTTCCTCTCCAGCGAAACACTGACCCAGGTATTCAGAGGGACGGGGTCTCTGCTCCTGGAGGGAAGAATGCGAGATATAAAACAAGAGGAAAAAAAGACCAGAAACGAGACTCATTCTGTTCTGTCTCTGAAGCCGTTAAGCCAGGCGTCTTCAAACTTGATCGCTTGAAGACTTGTGGGACTTCAACTCCCAGAATTCCTCCTCCAGTCCATGTTAGCTCAGGGATTCTGGGAGTTGAAGTCCCACAAGTCTTAACGCTGTCAAGTTTGAAGGCCCTTGCGTTAAGCTAAGCTGGTCCCCTCACTTTCACACGGGGAACTTTTTAAAATCAAGTCAAGAGTTGGTTTTGGAGAAGCAAGATAGGATGATACAATTCCATATGGTTTAGGTCTAATCCCCTATTTAAAATCTTGAGTCGCAATGATTTCCATGCCTCTGTGTATAATCGAGACGTTCTCTTTTTAAAATTCTTTATCTTTTTGCCCCCTATTAATTCATTTCAACATAAATAACATTTCTTTGCACCATGTATTTGTTATCCCCTACTAAGTCACTAATATCTAATACTAGCTCGATACCCGTGTTTTGCCACAAAAATATGTAGTCAGGCTTAGTTTTTGGGGAGTAAAAGAAGGGGGAAAAATTGTGCCTCTGCCTACCATCATCCATCAGTATTCATCTGGCTAGCATCCTGTCAGTGTGTGAGAGAGTTGAGGGCTATTTGGAAACTGAAGCAGTATTTGCTGTGTGAGCAAGAAGGAAACAGCAAGGACCCTGGGCATGGCTTAGCTCAACTATTCTGTACTAAAGCTGGTTGCTGCTGTGAAACTAAAACTGAAACTCCTCTCCTCTGCTTGTGTTTTGCATTTGGAACAGGTTTCTTTTCAAGTGGGGAGGGGGAGTAGAACTCTTTAGCATCAGAGCGTGTTAATAATAATAATATACGAAATACTAATGCTTTGATAGTTGTTTCGAAGAATCCTTTCTCAGTGAGCACCTAGAAGCCAAGAGGAAAATACGTGCCAAAATTCAAGTTTGTAGGCTTTACGGTTCTGGAGATTTTGTGATGATGCGTGAGGGGTATTTTGCTTTTATATAGATAGGTTTTAAAAATTACTCATTATTCCCCCAAAATTTCAATATCCCAAATATCTAGGACTACTAATAAGACCAAATATTAATAGAATTTTAATCAACCCCGGGATTATAACTCAAAGCCCTCACAATTTCTAATCCTTAAAAGTTTTGCGCTCACAATATATTTTAACACACGGAGTATTATTTTTCTTACTTGATTACAGCGGCTCCTTTGCCCAAGTCGTATCTGTACTCCAGGTATCCATTGTGAAGGGCCAAGGAGATAAAATCTCCCTTCCCATCCGTCTTCTGTCCATTGTAGAAAATTAAACCGTTGGGATTTCTGCTCAGGAAAGCCACTTCCATGGTCATCTTATCCCTGTGGGAATAAACAGCGGCACATATTACCACACGTGGTGGACCTGTATAATAGCAAGGAAATTTTGGATTCAAATACATACGTGGCTAGGAAAAAAAAAGACCAAACAACATATAGATTTCAAACCAGAATTGTTTTTACTAGGTATCACATCAGAGGGTTATGACAAAGGGACAATATATTTAATATTGCATATTTTGACTGCAGCAAGAATTGTACATGCGCAGCAGTGGAAGAACGAAAACACCCCGTTAGGAGGATGGGACGGTAAGGAAGATACTAGGCTGTGCGGAAATGGACAGACGGACACTAAAAATAAAAGATAAAAGAGATACATAATACTATTTAACGCGGATTAGGTTTTATCAATGGTTAGAAACAGGAGGTAGAAGTTGGAAGATGAAAGAATCAGGTGAGGGGGACTTGGAAAGAGAATCTGTATTATTGATAGAGGAATGTTAAGTATTAGAATGACAGAGGAGTTGACATATTATATGACGGTCAGAAAATTTTGTACGAAAATTTGCGTACATGATTGTACCTTATGATTCTTGACAAATGTATCTTCTTTTATGTGCACTGAGATCATTTGCACCAAGACAAATTCCTTGTGTATCCAATCATACTTGGCCAATAAAGAATTCTATTCTATTCTATTCTATTCTATTCTATTCTATTCTATTCTATTCCATTCCATTCCATTCTATTCTATTCTAACCTAATTCTATTCTATTTTATTTCATGACATATAGAGAAGATTTAACCATAGTTTCAATTGGGAAAAAATAATTTCCCATGCTGGGAAAAAAACAACAGAAGAAAAGAAAAGGTTTAAAAAAAGAAGTAGGGCGTATGAATATTTCATCTGGAAATCTGACCTGATTCCTGACTGAATCCGATAGGGAATGAAGCTGAGGGGTTTTTGAGTTTTCAAACTGAATTAGAGGCCTCCAAACAGATTGCGGTGACTTCACTGCTTGTCAAATCCCCTCAATCAGTTTGAAATGATAACTTTTATTGTCTTTTTTTTTATTTTTACGGTGACCGCGTTTTAAAAAAATGACATTCTGTGGAATGAATTGATTCAGCCCCTAAATCAAAGCCAGGCCATCCCCTCTGAAAGCAGCAGGGCGAGACCTCTGAACAAACCAAACAGAATTGGAAGGGACCTTGTAGGTCATCTAGTCCAACCCCCCGCCCAAGCAGGACACTCTGAATCCCATTTTGACCCAATTCACACAACCCTGCAAAAAAAAAAAAAAAGGGAATGAAAGGCAGGAGGGGGAAAAAAAGAGTGGATAGACACAGAGAAAAAAAAAAAAGGAAGGAAAAGAAAGCCTCTACAGAGAGTTCTCGGCTTAAGACCATTTGTTTTACAACCATTCAAAGTTACAAAGGGCGCTGAAGAGAGACCAGTCCTCGCACTTATGACTGTGGCTGCATTCCCCACAGTCCCCACATGATCCAAATTGGCAACCAAAATGTTCTTATAACGGTTGCAGCGTCCCTTGTGAACACAATCTTCCCAGCTGGCTTCTGGGGGAAATCTGGATTCACTTAATGGCCATGTGATTCTCTTAACAACGGCAGTCGTTTGCTCGATGAGCATGGTCAAACAGGTTATAAAAATCGGGCATGACTTCACTTAGGATTAGGGTTAAGATCATCTCCTTCAACACTGACAGGGCAAGTCACTAGAATATAAACTGAGAGCAAACCCCAACTCTTTGTAGCACTGATGATGTTACCTAGTTGGGTAATGAAACGGCTGCAAGAAAACAAGCCAACAACAAGGACCCCTCCTGTCAACCCTGAGCTACAAATATTCTCCTTCCTTCCTTCCTTCCTTCCTTCCTTCCTTCCTTCCCTCCCTCCCTCCCTCCCGTACTAGCACTGATGATGTTACCTAGTTGGGTAATGAAACGTCTTGCAAAAGAACAAGCCAGCTCAGAGAGCATCAAAGACATGGGTCTAATTTGCTTGAAACAGCGAGGAAGGGAAAGGAAGAGACAAGGAAAAGGAAGAAGAAGGACAAAAAACATACTGTAGCTCCGGCACAAATGTTTGGAGACCGTTCAGCTCCAGGTAGGAGAATCCATTGAATTCCGGCAGAAAAGGCACGGTCTGGTCCATTTCTGCAACTAAGAGAGGGAAGGAGAAAAAGTGTCGCAGATAAGATAACAAAAGTCACTTACTGGATGTGTGCTAAGTGCTGGCTGGTTGAATAAACTGGGTTTGTGCCATTAGCACAAACATACTGCAGACTGCCTGATCTGTGGATTGAAAGCTCCCACGAAAGGGCCTTGGCATTAAAAGCAGAGGATATTTCTTCGTTTTAAATGTTTAAGGATGCTTCAAAACCTCTATCACAGCTGCATCCTAATCCCACCTTTCCCTGGTTACCGCTGACCTGATTCGCAGAATTCGCCTCCTCGTCCCATGGGGCATTCGCATTTCGATCCGCCTTCTGGCAACACCAAGCAGGTGGCAGAGAGATGGCACGGATTGGGGTCGCAAGGGTTTCTCTCATCAGCACAGGTGGGTCCTAGGGCACAGGGCAAGAGAGAAAAGCGTAGCTAGGCAGCCGACTCTGGATGGGCTCTGAACGGATTCACAATTGTTTGCAAGAAAAGCTCAGAAAGCACTAAGGACCCCACAGTCCTCTTCCTCCCCCCCCCTCTCCCTCTCTCTCTCCCTCTCTCTCTCTCTGCAATCCTCGTCTCCACCCTTCTAGCACTGATGATGTTACCTAGCTTGGTCATGAAACGTCTGCCAGAAAAATCACCCAGCTCAGACAGCACCAAGGACCCCACAGTCATTCTCCTCCTCCTCTCTTCTGAAAATCCCACGCCCTCCCAGCACAGATGATATTACCTAGCTTGGTCATGAAACGTCTGAAAGTTCAGAAAGCCTCAGGACACCCCCACAGTCCTCCTCCTCCTCTTCCTCCTCCTCCTCCCTGCAAACCCCCACTCCCTCCTAGCACTGATGATGTTACCTAGTTGGGTCCTGAAACGTCAGCAAGAAATGACACCAACCTGTTCTGACCCAGCTCCCCAAACACGACAAACCCTCCGACGTGAACTCGAAAGATCATCATAGAATCACAGAGTTGGAAAGGACCTTGGAGGTCATCTAATCCAACCCCCTGCTTGAGCAGGAGAGTCTATTCCGAATATTAACCTCTACCTAGGATCGAACTCACAGCCTCCTGATTGTGAGGCGAGAGTTCCACCTCTAGGCCACCGGAGCAATCACATTCCTTTATTAGGAGTGCCGGCAGCCCCAGCGAAAGTTTCTCTCTCGGGCTAACAAGTTCATCCAGCCGAAAGATGAATAGTTGTCTGCCACATCTATCCCTCTCCGCCCCCTTCCTTTTATACTCAGAGCTAGGGTGGGACTTCGCCAGCAGCAGTGGCTCTTCCATCCCAAGGACCGGCCCATAGATTTCCACTGCTCTCCTCTCCTCTGCCTTCTGCACCTCTGCGCGTCAGGCCCTGGACCCAGCTCTTCCTCCTCTTCTTCATCAGCGTCATCACCTCCAGCCCTGGGGGCTGTGGACTCTCCATCTGAGGGCTGACGGATGGCCCAGTCTCCGCCTCTGTTTCTCTCTCTCTCTCTCTGCCGGCTCCGTTCTCTCTTCCCCCCTCCGAGCGCTCAGGTTGCCCTGATGCTGACCCTGATTCCCACAGTCCCTTCTCCTCTTCCTCCTCCTCTGGTTTGGCTGGAGTTGCCGGCAGCCCACAGGCCACACCACAACCTCAGGGAGCACCAAGGACTTCACAGTTCTACCCTGAGCTACAAATATTCTCTTCCACCGACCATCATTTTCACAAGAGCAGTTGGATTGGGGAAGAGGGTTCCAGCCTCTTCACCCCTCTGTGCATGCAGATAACTAGCTTGCGGGGGGCGGGGAGGAACGCTGCCTCCTTGCATTTAGAAAGCTAGTTCTGCAGCTGAAAGATCTCTCGCTTACACACACACACACACACACACAGAGGTTGGGCCCACCTGTATAACCATTGAGACACTCGCAGTGGAACATCTCGGCCTCCATGGTGTGGCAGAGCCCGCCGTGGTGGCAGGGGTTGGGCTGGCAAGGGTTGTTGCCACATTCGCCCACGCCGCTGCCGTACAGCACGTCATCGCCTTTCTCTCGCAGGTCGTACATCTGGTTGTTGACGTCCAGCAGGCGGATGCAGCCCTTCAGGCCCGCGGTGACCGATGTGCGCTCGGCCACCCTGGGATGCAGACAAACAAAGGACATTGCCAACTCATCAAATATTTCTCTGGTCTTGTTAAGTGAATTTCGCCCCATGTTATGACCTTTCTTGCGTGCAGTTATTATGTGCCGTTGTTAAGTCAGCCACAGGGTTGTTAAGTGAATCTGGCTTCCCCATTGGCTTTGCTTGGGGATCACATGACCCCAGGATGCTGCAACTGTCATAAGTACATGCCAGTTGCCAAGCATTTGAATTTTGATCACATGACTGAGGGGGATCCTGCAAGCATCGTAAGTATGAAAACTGGTCACAAGTCACTTTTTTTTTTGTAACTTTGGTCCATAAATAAATGGTTGCAAGTTGAGGACTGCCTGAATTACTGTCTTAAGAACCAAAAACAGAGGGAAAAACTAGCAGTAACCCAGCTGTTTATTAAGCATCCTGAAAGGAAATGAATATGCATCACGGTAATTAAAGCAAATGAATAAAAAAAAAAAAAACCAGGGTTCCACATCCTATGAATACAGAACTAGGACAAATCTGTTAGCATCTCATCGAATCAAAAAATTACACACACACACACACCCCAAAATTGCTGTATTTCCTCATTTTTTGCAGCCTTAACAAGCTTTTGAAAATTAACAGGGAGATTGCATGGTTTTTTTTTCTCAGCCCTTCTTGTGTTCAAATTCCCCTTTCCTGCTTTTGCTTCCCCCAAAGGGTGTGGATGTTTGTGTCTTCACACCCCTTTGGGCAGTTGAGAACGACACTGGACTAGATCCCTTCCAGCTCTGTTATTCTATTTTTTTTAAAAATAAACTTTATTAGTATTTTATGACTTTTTTAAAAAACAGAGTACAAATATCTTAACTTCAACAGTTTGTGGCATTTGTCTTATGCTACTATTTTGTGGATTATTTACAAAATATATACTATTTTGCAAATATAAACATTAGTTGATATGTTGCTTGTCATTAACTTTTTCATCATCCATTTATCTATCTTTGCTCAATCCAGTCATACCATTTTCCCCAAGTCTTATAATACTCCGTCTCCTCTTTCTCTTGTAACTTCAGAGTTAATTTATCCATCTCAGCACAAGTCATTATTTTTTGATTGATCAATTCATCTGGTGGTATATATGCATGTTTCCAGCACTGGGCCTAAGCAATACTGGCTGCGGTTAAAATAGATAGTACTATATATTTTATATTTCTCCCATGTTTCTTTTTGAATATCCCCAATAAAAATAATTCCGGTTCTAGTTCTATTGGTTCATTGATAATCTCTTGCAACCATTGTTTAATTTTTAAGCAATATTTTTGGGTCTCCGGGCAGGACCGCCACATGTGATAGAATGTACCTTTTTTTTTCTTTTTGTACTTCCAACATGCCGGATTCATGTCGGGATACATCTTCACTAATCTCGAAGGAGGTTGTTATTCTCATTCTAAAGTTAACTCTACTCACACATCAATTTGGTCTTCCGGGGCTCCTCCGACAAAGAGGTCGGTGTCGAGATTCAACCCATCGGTCCCACTTGGGCTCTCGCCATGCATGTGGGGCTCTCCGTCCACGGATAGCACGCCGTTCCTCCGGTTCCGATTGACCACTAGGGCATGCCACTGGCCCGGCTCAATGGGCACCTTGCTGGTGATCACGCCTGTCCCCGAGCCGGTGTTGAACCTGGGAGAGATGGTCACAGGTTTGACTGATAGTTATTGAACAGTCTAATTCAAAGGAGATGTAACTTGGAAATACTATAAAAGATAAAGATTTCCCCTTTCTAATTGTATGTGATTCTAGGGGGTGTTGTCTATCTATGTTTCTTAGCTGAGGGAGCCAGCATTGTTCGGGGAAGCTTCCGTGGTCGTATGGCCAGCATGACTACATGCCAAAGGTGCACAGAATGCTGTATAACCTTCCCACCAAAGTGGTACCTATTTAACTACTTGCATTTGCATGCTACAGAAAAAAACAATTACTATCAACTGTCTTCCATCAAGGACCTGTATCCTGGATGAGTCAAAAAGAGGGCTGTGAAAATATCTACAGACCCCTCACATCCTGGACATAAACTGTTTCAACTCCTTCCCTCAAAACGACGCTTATAGAGCACTGCACACCAGATCAACTAGACACAAGGACAGTGTTTCCCCAACGCCATCACTCTGCTAAACAAATAATTCCCTCAACACTGTCCAACTATTTACAAAGTCTGCACTACTATTAATCTTCTCATCACTCCTTATCGCCCATCCCCTCCCACTTGTATGACTGTGTAACTTTGTTGCTTGTATCATTATGATTTATATTGACTGTTTCCTAGTATGATTTGATTGCTTATTGTGCCCTATGACTATTATTAAGTGTTGTACTTTATGATTCTTGACTCTTGACGAATGTATCTTTTATTTTTATGTACACTGAGAGTATATGCACCAAGACAAATTCTTTATGTGTCCAACCACACTTGGCCAATAAAGAATTCTAACTAACTTCTAACTTTCGAACAGCTAGGTGGGCAGGAGCTGCAGCAAGGAATGGGAGCTTACCCTATCATGCGACGCTTGGGTCTCGAACCCAGGCTTGTCAGCTCTCCAGCTGACAAGCTGAGCGTCTTGAAGCACTGAGCCACCGAGCCCCTTGGAAATATAACAGCCCTCTGCTATTCCCAATGCATCCTGATGAAGACCACAACAGCATCATTTTGAAGGGGGGGAGGGGGGAAGGATCAAAAGCTTCCTAGCACAGCACACCAATCACCCCAAATCCTTCATTAGATTGTGATCAATGGGACTGGATCAGTCCAGGGGCTCATTTTTAGATGGAAGGCTGAGTCAACCATGAGCCGTTCAGGATCAAACTCTAGGCGGTGGGGCAGAGCTAGCCTGCAATACTGCATTCTCACCGCTGCGCCACCAAGGCTCCTGGTAGAACCCGATGACTTCCTTTTACGGCAAAGGAAGAAGATGGCATTCCGCTTTCATCAACGTCCCTCTTGCCGAGTTCTCATTTGGGCATCAGGCTGGTCTCCAACCACACAAAGAACCCGTTGGCCTGATCTGGCTTCGAGGAACACCTTCCCAGCCCTACCCCTCCTACCCTCACCATCAGGCCACCCCTCACCTGAGCTCCACGAATCCGTTCACCAGCGCCAGGGAGACGAAGTCCTTCCCGCGGTTCTGCCCGTTGTACAGAAGCAACCCACTCAGCTCGGAGGCCCGGAATTCCATGGCGATGCGCACGGTGTGGTAAGCCTTCATCATTTTGAATGCCAGGTAGGACTTCCCGCCGAAGCTGGGGATGAAGTATCGGATGGCTGCGACGGGCAGAGAATTCACACGGAAAGGTGCGTGTTAGGATCCAAAGGAAGAAAGCCAGGCGGCTGCGGGGAGGGAGGATTTCCCCAGGGGTCCTGCGTTAATTCCTTATTCGAGCTTTTGTATCCGCAGGGATAAAAGCTCCATTTCTTTTGATGCACTCTCACCATGTGCTTTACATCTGCAAATCCTGTTCCTTTGAGCGTGTTGCGGGATAAAAAAGACCCTTTCTTTACAAAACATAGGTGTGATGCATTAACCCATCTCTCTCTCACACGCACAACCACTTTGGCTTCCAATGCCCCATTCATTCGGAAAAAACAGGAATGCACTTGGAGCCTTCACAATAGCGGCCCCCCTCCTGCGAGATCACTTGGCTGTATAATGCTGCCTCTTTCTTCTGGGGCTGCCTGGTGCTTACAGCCATTTGGGGAGGTGGGGGAAACGAAACATCAGTCATAAATAAATCAAAGGAAGCATGGAGGTTGTGTTGCCAGGGCTCACAAGCAGAAATGGGGTGCTTCTCCCCAGATTTAGAACATATAGAATAACAGGGCTGGAAGGGGACCTTGGAGGTCTTCTAATCCAACCTCTGCCATTTTGGATGAACGGCTCTCTTCTTAAAAACCTCCAGTAATGGTGTCCTGGCCGAGCTCCCCAAACACAACAAACCCTCTGAAGTGAACTGAAACGATTCCTTTATTAGAAATGTCGGCAGCCCCGGTAAAAGTTTCTCTCTCAGGCTAACAAGTCCATCCAGCCAGAAGATGAATAGTTGTCTGTCACGTCTATCCATCTCCACCCCCTGCCTTTTATCCCTGGAACTAGGGTGGGGCTTCGCAAGCAGCGGTGCTTCTTTCGTCCTAAGGACCAGCCCATAGATTTCCACTGCTCTCCTCTCCTCTGCCTTCTGTGCATCCACGCATCAGGCACCGGGCCCAGCTGTTCCTTCTCTTCCTCATCGGCCACCTCCAGACCTGGGGGCTGTGGACTCTCCACCTGAGGGCTGACGGACGGCCCAGGCTCCATGTCTCTCTCTCTCTCTCTCTCTCTTTCCCTCCCCCCCCCCCTCCCCACTCCATTTACTCCCACCCCCCCGAGGCTCCCAGGTTGCCTTGATGCTGAGCCTGATTCCCACACTGCCTCCTCCTCCTCTGATGTGGCTGCTGGAGGGCCCGGCGGCCAATAGGCCACAGCAGACAGAGAACCCACAACCAGCTGTTTCGTTCATGAATTGTTCTCGCCGCCAGGAAATTTCATCCTCGGAACTTACACTTCTCGCAAACCGCTCCTCCTTTTCCTGCAGGGCAGCTGCAGGTAAAGTCCCGGCCGTCGTCCTCGCAGGTGCCGCCGTGCAAGCAGGGATGAGAATCACAGGGCCGCGGGGGCTTCTTGGTGGTGGGAACAGGGCGCACGGGTTTCTTCCGGTCCATGGAGGTTGGAAGGCTGGTGCTGGGCCTTTTGGTGGTGGCTCCTCCGGAGGATTTCCCATTCAGCCATCCCGGGTTCAGGTTCCGGGGATTGGTGGTGTTGGGGAACCTCTGGGAGCTGGCGGCCATGGGAGCCATCGTGGTGGCGATTGTGGTAGTGGTGGTGGTGGTGAAGAGCTGAGGGATCCAGTCTAGAAGGAGAACAAGGGGAAGCGGAGAGGGTTGGAATGAAACGGTGGAACTCGCGGCCACAAGACAATCGCGATGGGGAGAAGAGGGAGACATTAGAGAAACAAACTATTTCTCCATTGGCTCTACGGTTGTGGAGACTATCCCTGCCAAAACATGAAGCTCGGGCAGGATAAGTTTCTCAGGAATTAAACGGAGCAGCTGAAAGAAATAGGAGAGCTTTTCTCACTCTTATCAGCCCAGATTAAGCAGCGTATCAAAACTCCGGAGGAAAACCAGCCCGTTAAGGAGGCCGCCAAAAACTTCCTTCTTGTTCCTTCTTTCCCAAAGAGAGGAAACTGGGAAAAGCATCTCTCTCTCGGGAGGAAGGTTGTAGGAACTGGCATCACCGGCTCCCGGAGAGGGTGAGGAAGCCGGGAACGCTCTGCCCACTGAAAGGGAATTGCGTGTCTTCACACAGCAAAAATCCTCTCGCAAAGTCCCAGCGATGGAGGAAGAACTAAAAGTTTTAGTGGGCTTTCTCGGGAGGAGATGAATTATTATTATTTTTTGGCAAGGAAAATGTTACAACCAAGGCAGAAAAAAAAAGGCAAAATCAGAAGGAAGGAAGGAAGGAAGGAAGGAAGGAAGGAAGGAAGGAAGGAAGGAAGGTAGGTCTTAAAGGTCCAGGGCCAGACTAAGGGTGGAACCACAGCACACAGAAAAAAAAAAGCACAACACAAAAACACAAGATGAAAATGGGGAGGGAGGGAAGAAGAGTGTTGAGGAGGGAGGGAGGAAAGAAGGGGAAAAGAGGAAGGGAGGAGAATAGAGGGAGGGAGGGAGGAAGGAAGGGGGAGGGAGGAAAGAGAGATGAAAATGGGGAGGGAGGGAAGAAGACAGTTGAAGTGGGATGGAGGAAGGAAGGAAGGAAGGGGAGGGGAGAAGGGAGGGAGGGAGCAATAGGAAGAAAGGAGAAAGAAAGGAAAAAAAGGGAATGAAGGAATATACCAAAGTCCATGAACTTGATGTTCTCTTGCTGGGGTCTCTTCACCAAGATTGTTTTCTTCTTAGAGGCTTTGATCTGCTTCAAAAGGGCCCGCTGGATGTCGGCAGCCGTGTAAGAAGTAGCTGCAAACATCAAGGAAAAGAAGAAACAGGAGGCTTGGGGGGGCGGGCATCCTCCACCTTGAAGCCAGCAAACAACACACACACACACACACACACACACACAGAGAGAGAGAGCTCCCCTCAACCGGGCTCAGCTTCCCTTTCGTTTTGCTAAGCAAAAGACATGCCTTAAAAGGGGTTTCAAAATGAAAAGCAAAAGACTGCTTTTGTGTGTGTGTGTGTGTGTTTGTGTGTGTCCCTCCACTGGATGATAAAGGCTTTGAACTAGGAACAGGCCCTTCGGCTTGAAGGAAAGAAGGGGGGGGGAAAAGGGGGGGGGTGGATTTTGAACGCTGATCCCGCATTTTAAAAAAAAGCAGAAAATTGGGGACCGCGTTTCCGTGGCATCGTTTTTTGCCTGCCCAGAAATTCCAAACAAACATCGCTTCTGGGGGGAGAAAAATTATAATCTCCACCTGCCCTGAATCCTTCAGCTTTCAAAATTGAGAGAAGGATGGCAACCATGACCTCAGGACAATACAAATACACAGGCTTTCAATTCCCATCAGCCTGGCGAGAGAAGATGGGGAGTTTTAAGTTCACGACAGACCCAGCCTGAGTGGTACTGAAGTGAAAGAATGGGACAAAGGACTAGGAAAAAGCTCTTTTAGCCCAGTCTACCTTGTAGGGTTGTTGTGGCAGGGGGAAATGGGAGGAGGGTTTAGATGGAGCTGCCTCAGGAATTCTGGGAGCTGAAGTCTGTTAAGGTATTGGGATTTAAGAGCCGACCAGCAGTAAGGCTGATGCAATATAATGGCTGATGCAATGAAGGTGAATCATCATTGGTATTGCTTCTTTAAGACGCAGGATGGGTTCTACCCTTTTAAGAGGTGTTTATATAAGGCAGCCATTAGAGGGCGTTTCCTCTCTCCTTGTGCCCGGTATCCATTGCAGAGTTCTCCGTGTAGAGTTAAGAAGAGGATTGATTGCTTGTGAGGTATTTGCCTACCATATATATTTCTGTATGTGTCTTGTATATAAACCACTGTTGAAAGTCTAAGTGTGTGTTGTGTTTTGCTCCTGGGTTGTCTCATAATAATAGTCATGCTGCAAACACTCTGACAAAGTCCACAGATTGTAAAGGGGGCGTAGCTGCCCACCCCTGCTCAATGATTGAATTCAAGCCAACCGACAGATCAATCATACTCTAACCAAGAGGTGCGCCTGGCTCAATGGTGTGGGGGAACCAAATGCAGACTCACCTGGGTCAAAATGGGTCTCCACAATGACCCTGACGGCGCTGCTTTGGCCCAGATGTCGCACCTGGACACTCCTGAAATCCCTCTTGACCTCTGAGTTGCGGAAAAGCTCATCCAGCTGCCAGAAAATGAAACCAAACAACGACAACAACAAAAGTTAGGGACCAGCAGGTCTTTCGATTTATCTCAAGGGCTGCCCCAAAGAAGAGGGAGTCAAGCTATTCTCCAAAGCACCTGAAGGCAGGACGAGAAGCAACGGGTGGAAACTAATCAAGGAGAGAAACTCGCTGGAATTGAAGAGAAACTTCCTAACAGGGTGGACAATTACTCAGTGCAATGCCTCCAGAAGTTGTGAATTCTCCAACACTGGAAGCTTTTAAGAAGAGATTGGATAAGCATTTGTCTGAAATGGTCTGGGGTTTTCTGCCTAAGCCGGGGTTGGACTAGAAGACCTCCAAGGTCCCTTCCAAATGTGTTATTCTATTCTATTCTGCATTCTATTCTATTTTCTTCTATTCCATTTTCTTCTATTCTATTTTCTTCTGTTCTGTTCTATCCTATCCTATTCCCTATTCCCATTCCCTATTCTATTCTATTTTATTCTCCTCTCCTCTTCTCTTCTCTTCTCTTCTTTCTCTATTCTATTCTATTCTATTCTATTCTATTCTATTCTATTCTATTCTATTCTATTCTGTCCTATTCTATTCCCATTCCCTCTTCTCTTCTCTTCTCTTCTCTTCTCTTCTCTTCTCTTCTCTTCTCTTCTCTTCTCTTCTCTTCTCCATTCCATTCCATTCCATTCCATTCCATTCCATTCCATTCCATTCCCTCTCCTCTCCTCTCCAGTCTGCTTTTCTCTATTCTATTCTGCATTCCGTTCTATTTTCTCTTCTCTTTTACCTTATTCACCCATCAGGGCTCTCCTCAAAAGCCGGCTAACTAGTGCAACAGCTGGATTTTAGTTGGGAGGGGGGAGGGACAGGGACCGACAGGGGTTGCAAGAGAGCCACAGCTTTCCCACTGCAAGTGGGGAAAAAGCCGCCACGGCCTCGTCCCCCCCAACCACTGTGCTTGCTTACCACGCTTTCAATGCTTCGGGCTGTCTCCCCAAAGAGCTCCGATTTAGGATCGGCCATTTCCGGAGTGTAAAACAGTTCCTGGCCTTCCACCTCTTCCAAAATCAGGACCCCTTGGAAGACTTTGGTGGCTGCAGGGAAGAAACAGGGCAAGGGGAGACAAAGCCAGGAAGAAAGAGTTGGGCTAATGTGGCCGTGAAAGCAGCCCGGGAATCGCGGCCAATACATCGATTGCTCGACACGCAGACTGTTCAAAGAGTGTTCAGTCCTTTTGGCAGAAAGGGAGAAAGCAGGAAGATGGCGGCAGATGAGCAGCGCTGTGGGTTCAGGGTTAGTCTGGATGGATCAGAGGGAGGCTTATGGGGGAGAGGGGGGTTAGTACTTTGAGCGGGGGGCGCAGAGACTCGGGCAGCAGAAAACTCGGGTTGTGAGAACTGGCAAGAGTTTTACCATACATAGCTCCTCCAAGTTGCAGTCTGGGTAGGGACCCTCCTGGACCGGCTGGGTAACGAGAGAAAGAGGGTTAGCTGGGGCCAAGAGAGAGAGAGAAAGAGAGAAAGAGAGAGAGAGAGAGAGAAACACATCAACTACTGGAAAATAAGAGGAAGGGGGTTGCTAGCATGCAAACACCGGAATGAAAGAGGGAGAAAGAAAGGAAGGGGAAAAGAGAAAGGGAAGGAGGAATAAGAGAAAGGGAGGGAGGAAAAGAGAAAGGGAAGGAGGAAAGAGAAAGCAAAGGAAGAAAGAGAACGGAAGGTGGAAAGAAAGGGAAGGAAGGGAGAAAAAGGAAGGGAGAAAAGAGAAAGGGAAGGAGGAAAAGAGAAAGAGAAGGAAAGAGAAAGGGAAGGAGGAAAGAGAAAGGGAAGGTGGAAAGAGAAAGTGAAGGAAGAAAGAAAAAGGACGGAAGAAAAGAGAAAGCAAAGAAAGAAAAAGGAAGGAGGAAAAGAGAAAAGGAAGGAGGAAAGGAGAAAGGGAAGGAG